GATCAGGATGCGGTCATTTCTTGCTGAAGAAACCCTTGGACGCCCAGATCTTGGTTTGTCTTCCAAGCTGTTGGTTCGTCTGTATTTCTGCAGAGTGTATCCAACTGCTGAAAGACTGCATCTGCACTTCCTGGCTATCTGGCGGCAGCTGTACCCTTCCTGGCTGAGAATCTTTATCTTCAGGCGTGTTTCCTGCGTTAGGTTCCTTGTTTTAGCCATTTTTGTGTCTGAAGAACTTTCAAATGTGCTGGCTTTATGTAGACACGAAGCTTGGCAACAAAAATTGTGTCTTTTAATAAAAAGAACGACCTTTATCACTGGTACCAAAATGACCCAATACTCAAAATTTCTTACGTATTTTTATGGAACCAATCAATTTTAAGATTTAATGGCTTTTTTAGGATTTATTTAGTATTTTAGCTGTGACTGTACTAAAAGAAATTGCACTTGAAGACCTAAGAGTGATTCTTAATGCAATATTTCACAAATGCATGGGGTGTCCGAAAACTTTTTTCCACCACTGTATAGTGATACATCTTTTCCAGCTTTACCCACTTGTTAGACATTCCCGCTGCCAACTAGTTGCATTGCCTAAAGGCCAGACAGGCACATCAGGGTACACAGGAAGTCAATCCAGGCACTCAAAAAAATATAGAAAACAAGGAAGGAAGTATTAAAAAGCCTTTATTATAGTGGCTAAATCATTGACAGAGTTCTTTAAATGATTTAGTCAGCACAATAAAAGCTTTTTAATACGTCTGGACTATCTTCCTGTGTATGCTGTTGATTTCCGCTCTCCATGAGCACCTGGCAGGTTTTGATCTACGTTTGATCACACAGAGCAATCAGTCGTCTCTTTCTGATTCCAGACCCATAAGGGTACAAAATGTCAAGGACACGTCCCTTTTTGGGAGACAGAAAACCAAAGATCCTGGAGCTGTCAATGTCATTTAACGTGTTTGGATTTTAATTTTGATAAGTATCTATGCTTTTATTCCTGTTAAACATTTGTTTGACATACATGTCTAATAAATGTTTTGCAACCCTGCCGAAACCTGAGCGTTCGCAATACCTTATTTAATATGATTGCTCTCATGTTCCTTTAGTCTCACTACGTCCAAGTGGATCTATGACCTAACACTGTAGCCATAATGACGTGATCTGGACATTTACATGCATGTTTGGATCATGATACCTGGTGATTCAATAAGATGTGTAAGTTTAATTAAATCAAATACAGCGATGACACAATACTGATGTGATCTGTGTGTATCAAGTGATACTAGTGACGTTTCAGTGGTTGCAAAACACAGCACTTGATTTTAAACTAATAATGCTCAGATGTTGTGTATTGTTAAGACGTTTTGGGATTTTTACTTCAAACAATTGCCATAACAAGGTATTTTCAAAACTATTTCAAGGCCTGGAAAACAGTTTTTTTAAATGTCATAACTTTAACAGAGGTTTCATGACTGGTGGATCCCTGAAAATCACTCTGGTCCTGCTGCTCTTTACACTGCAGAGTCCATTGTCTCGTGTCACTTTAACAAACCAAAAGCGACACAGCGAGGAAGCGGATATTCACTGGGAAGCGAAACATTAAGCACCATGTCAAGTAGGCCCAACCCAACTTGAACATCACTGGTAAACAGTTGTTTGAACTCGGCTCAACTGTCAGGTTCTGTCGCGTCATTCTAGTATGCACGCCATTTCTATCAACTGAAAAGGGAAATCCAGTATGACGTCCCTGGTCCACAGCTGGTGGCACTAATGTGTAAGGTGACATGGCAATGCACGATGAAAAATGCAGTCTATGTTTGAGAGAAACAGGTGCAACACAAGTATGATGTTCGCATTAACATGGAAACGATGTCTCATGTGGCAAATGTTAAGGTGAAAACACCTCTCGGAGTGTTTCATGGTTGTGAAGGGCCTTTAAAATAGAATCTATGGGAGGAAAAAAAAAACCTGTACAGCTTTTCAATATATATATCGTCCATATTTTTATAGATTTTTTAACATTTAATTGTCATTTTTTTTCATGCTTCTGACTCCTGCTGTGCTTCATTTTATCTTTAATATTCTCTCACTATGTGTATTGTTTTGTACCAAACACCAAAGTGAATTCCCTGCATGTAAAAATCTACTTGGCAATAAACAAAATTCTGATTCTGAAGACTTCTATGTATTTCATTACATAATTATTCAAGTCTGGTGAATTTCATTGTTTCTTCATTCATTTATTCTTAATTTTGATGTATTTAGCGACCAGTACGTGCTCCAAATATAAACCACTGCTCCACTGTTGAACAGCGGAAACACTTAAACTGAACGTAAAATGTCATCTTTAATTTAGCTCTCAGGCTTGTATGTGCATGTAATTGTGTATTTAATCATTGAAACCTGAGCAAACTGGCTTAATGTCTTCCTAAAACATGGACAGAAGGCAGTGAGCAAATGAGAAAATGACCCAAATATTAGCAAGATATTTGTAAAAAGTTACCAAAAAAGTGATAATTAGCACAAAAAAACTAAAACAAAACAAACAGCAAATGACCTGAAAAAGGAGCTAAATAAAATAACAATAATAAATAAACTCTATATGTATAATTATAATCATTATAAATATAATTTTGTGGGCATTTTCCCCTAATATTTTTGTTTATAATTTTCTAATTCTCTCTTTCTTACTCACTCTGTTAGCTAATTTTCAGGTACTTTTCTTGTCACCTTTTAGTAATGTCTTGCAGTTTGCAAGACATTTTGCTGATTCTTTTTTTATTTAAAATAATTAAACCAATTTGCTGCAGTATCAACGGTTTAAATACTTGTGAAAAGTGTCTGAAAGCAGCACAAGAAAAGTGATGTGGCTCCAGGTTGAAAGGGTTAAATTAAACTACGCTGACTGAATACAGGGACTGATGGTGATGTTTGTTTGGTAATAACTGCAGGAAAAACTGGCTTCTGATTTAAACTGTATTAAGGAGAGTGTTCACATTTTGCAACTGAAACATTTCACTTATGTGGATCCAGTTTTTCATTGTTATCTAGTATGATCTAATCTGTCTAATTAAATCAAAGTAATGTAAATTATTTGTTAACATCTGAGCATAATAAGTGAAAGAAATGTTGGACTTACATGACATTATGCCTGGTGATCCTCACTGACACTAAAGTAATCTAGTTATTATACACAGTTGCACCCGTTAACGATGGCATCAGTTAGAAGATAAAATATTAACAGCATTCAAGTTTCATTTTCAGTTTCTTGACAAACACAATCATAAAAAATTATTGCTAGATATGGGATTGATATAAACAGTCTGAGCAGGCGAAATCATTTGATGTCAAATATTAACAAATCTAAGCAGATTACAGAGACAACGAACCATTGAAAAGAAGCTGCAGAGAAAATGAAGACGAGAAAGTCATTCAGCGCCACAATTCTCAGACAAAGCAGCTCAGACAGCTGGCAAAGCTTCAATCAGGACTAACTGTGGTTTGTGTCTGAAGACAATTTAAACTTCTCTTATCTCTCTAAATAACCTCAGCATACACAGGTGAGTACTTTTGGTTACACTTGTTGAGCAAGTTTAAGAGTAATATACAGTACAGGCCAAAAGTTTGGACACACCTTCTCATTCAATGCGTTTTCTTTATTTTCATGACTATTTACATTGTAGATTCTCACTGAAGGCATCAAAACTATGAATGAACACATGTGGAGTTATGTACTTAACAAAAAAAGGTGAAATAACTGAAAACATGTTTTATATTCTAGTTTCTTCA